GACATATGTTAAAAATCTTCCTAATGAACAGTCACATCTTTTCTTCTATGGTTTCTTTTCATTCTGTCTACCTTCTTGACTTCCCCTCTGCAACTGTAATCCTCCCCTCCAGCATCCTCTTTAACCTTACCTCCTGAATTTTAAGGTTCATTTTACGTTTTGTGGTCTTCAGTTCCTCTTCAATAATGGCTGAATTCTTCTAAAAATAGGAGAAAAGGTACTAAATAATCTGAAATAATAAGAAGAAGCTGTCTATAGGTATATCAGTTCAAATCTAGACTTTTTTGGGGCAACCTATAAAGGCTACTCTGACTATGGTTATAAACACTTCTGACCGAGTCTGGAGTAATTATTACAATGAGCTATTTAAAGTTATTTTATTACTTTGATTCATGACTTCTATCATTTCCCCTTTTAGATCATTAAAAAAAGATTAATCACAAGTACCTCCTATGTAAAATTCAATAATCAGAGGAAAACCTGGTAATTGCTAGACATTTTTCTTACAGGGTATATTCCTATTTTTTTAAACTATACTATTTCTTCTAGCCTCAAATATTACCTGTGCTTAGGAGTTGAGGATGAAAAAACACAGCTTTCACTATTTATTCTTTTATATTATCATTAATGTGGCACCACAACTTCGGATGTAAAACCTCAGCTGTCTTTACCTTCTTCCCTCCCTTCAGCCCCTGTTCAGGACCATATTCTAGTATATTTCTTCACAGAAGAGCCCTCATTCCTTTCAAAATGCCACAACCACAGCTAAGACCTAATAAGGTTTATGCCTCAAATAATGTGATGGACTCCTAACTGGTTTTCCTCTCTCCAGCCTCTTCTGTAATTGATGCTCTATACTGCTACTGGATTATTTTTCCTGTTTTCATTATGTCACTTCCTTATCAAAAATCTTAATCACTCCTTGTAGGATCAGGCCCAGCTACTGACTATTCTTGATTCTGAGATCCTCTGTGATGTTATCCTGAGTTAGTTTACAACTTATTTCACACAATCAAAGCCTTATTCTGTGAGGCTACTTTATGCCCTTCCCCCGAACTGCACCTAGTGGAAAGATCTAGGTTCAAATCTGAGTTACTGGAAGAAGACAGGGAAGTGTTATCTTGGAGAAGTGACTTCTCTCTGGGCCCCAGTACTCTCATCATTAAAATAGGGACCATAATATTCGTCCCTTGAGGTTTTGCAGAGATTAAACAAAATAACATATTTTAAACAACATAACATCTATTATAGTGCCTGGCCTGGAGAGAAAACAGATTCATTAGTTTCTTTCCTTAGTCTTTATTTTTTGCTGCCTGTGTGTGTGTTCTCTGAAAAGTTCTCATCTCTCTTCTTTGGCTTCTAAAGGTTCTGCTCAAGTCCTGTCTCTTTCTTGAAGCCTAGCCAATCTATTCTAGACAGGACACATGTACCTTCTCTCAACAGGACACATTTAACTTCTCAAACCCCCTGAACACAAAACACTTAGTTGGCAATATTCACTTATTGTCCTATACCGTCCTTTAACACTTCTTATAACCTTATTTTTTCTCTTTAGTTTTTCCTGCTATGCCTTGTTTTCCCAGCTAGTATATGAGCTCCTGAAGAGCACAGACCCCTTCATATCCCTGGACCCTCAGTCACATGTAAATGGTAAGGAATCTATAAATACCCAATTACTGATAGCACACAATGTTGTAGGTTATGGAAGTAGATAAATTTCAAATGTCAAAAATCCTCAAATCAACATCACCTATTTTGAAAAGTCAGTTTTATGGGCCTGTTGCCTCCTCCAGCCAACACAAAACAATGAATTTGTATTTCAGAACCCTGGACTCTAACCTTGGTCTCTGAGGCAAGCTCCAGAGTGGCGGTCAACCTTTGCACCTCGTCTTGGGCCCTGTCTTCTTCCTCTTTCACATCTCGCAGTTGCTGGCGCAAGTTCATCACTTCCAGCTGCAGTAGCTTCAGGTCCTTGGAGTGCTCCTCCTGTATTGAATTCAGTCGATCCTTCAGAAAAGCTACCAGACAGCACAGGAGGGTCATCGAGCAGTTGAGAGGAGGTCAGGAAAGGAAAAGAATCATAAGCTCATCAAGCACCCACACAGGACCAAATTTCTGATGATTCTCTCCTCTCCATACCTGTTTTCTGTGGATTCAAATCCTTTTCAGTCTGCAGACGAAAGATGTTCATCTTCAAGGACTGGATGAGGCCTTCTAGACGGCACATTCGATTTACCAGAAATTCACAGTTCTTCCATAAAATATCTGTTTTTCCTGAACAAATTATTTCATTCTGGATAGGACTAATGATGTTCTGGCTCATAGGCTCTTCCACATATTTTGCAGTTTCCAATTGGCCTCTGGACAAAGATCCCGATATAATAATATTACATGGTAATCCCAATCATCAAGTCAATGTAACATTTCTACTGAGAATAAAAATTAGATTCTTTAGTTAATAAGTATGTTACCACCTCCAAATTTAAATATAGAGAGCACTATTAGGTAAAGAGGATGAGACCAACATGGGGTGAGTAAAGATCACTGACTTTTTAATGGTTATTTTAATTTAAATTTTTTGTAAACTTATTTTGTATGTAAAAACAAGTGATATATACATGTTAAATGCTAATTCTGTAATAGTGAACTGAGAATTAAACTTAGCATGAAGACAATATATTCACATGCTTTTTAGAAAATTTTTAAACAAGGTCACAATAAACATTCCTATTTTGTTCTAACATGAACAATGTCACAAACTTAATCTTTAAACTGAAGAGTTATTATTCTATGGGTGCTATAATACTAACTATACAAATTTTAGATCTTCATAAGGGACATTCAGGAAACATATATGTAATTTTAAAGAAAATCACACCAGTAAACTCAATGTTGGCTGCTTAACCACCCAGATTCCTCAGGCCATTGATAATCTAACTTTTAATTGCAAAACCTTCCTCAGCAGCACAAATAAAAAAACACAGTTCTTTTTTTGAGTACCACATTCTAAATTATGAATTTTTTTAAGACTTAACACCTCTCTTTTAATTTACAATAAATCTGGAGAAAGAAAATACAGACATTATTGGCATGAATCAAGTTTAGATGTTCACCTTAACTAATATCAAAGTCTGTTTTTGATTTTTAAAAAAGGACCAAATTTTTTCTAATTATGTAAAAAATTATATTTTGTTTTTAATCAAGTATTAAGGATGAGTGGGATATCAAAGTGTGTGCATCTAATTAACACACTGTAAGTATCTGCTTAGAATAACAGTGGTAGTAGCTGTAATACAGAAGGACAACTCTTTAACTTGCATGTATTTTCTAATTAATATTCTAATGGAAACATATCTCAATTCTTTTCTAAATATCTATTTCATCTGCCAAACCACCCACATTGTGACTCCTTATTGGTAACCAACGAAGCAAAATTCTTCAACTTACAAAGATGTTATTCATTTTTCATTTGTTACCTTTTTTCACCAAAGTCCAACATTATTAGGTCATCCCTCAGAGAACTGGTCTGTTCCTCAACTATTCTCATCCTTTGCTGAAGTACCGTGAATGTTTCAGAAGCTGTAGCATTGATGTGGGTTGGAGAGAGGACTGGTCTGGACATTGTAGTTTCCATCTGCACCTGAGATTAAAGTCACAATATTAGTGTAGTAGGTTCTATTACTGTTCAAAATAGTCACTGCTCCTTCATGTGGAGGATTATACACCCCTGTCCTGTTGAGCTTGGAAATGGCCATGTATTCTGCTCTGGTCAATTAAATGCGGATAGAAGCCTTAAGAGCCAACTTGTCATTCATCATCTTTCTTTTTTCCCTTCTCCATGAGATGAGCAACATCCCAGATAGGGCCTGCTCCATGTGCCAAGATCCCAGAGTAAAGATGACATGAGCAGAGTCATGACACATCCATGACATACAATGTGAGCGAGCAAGAAACTTATGTTGTTACAAGCCACAGATTGTTTGGTAGTTTGTTATTGCATCACAATGCAGCCTATCCTGTCTGCTACTATTAGACATACCCTTGCACCTATGACTTGGCTGAGGGAGTTATTACCTCTTTCATTACCAGCCATTTTCATTTTAACATATTCCCATCCAACATTTCTGGGGGGAGGGGGCTCTATAGTACTTGGATCTCTGAGCAGCTGTCATAAAATAATTTACCAACTACCTTGAAGCAGTTACTTTTAAAAATGATTTCCAGACTTAACTTCATAGCAAAGACTCTTCTATAGCTACTGACATCAAATTTCCTGACTCTTCCCCCAAGACTATATGAGAATAAATGGGAATAGGGAGACTACTTGTTTAGGTATTAGCGACAGAAGCAGAATTAGCTTATAGGTAGTCCCAGAATTTAAATGAATCATGTGCCTAAAGTTCAATGACAAGATCGTTGGTGGAAACCTTAAGGATATTTTCCTGCAATTCTATCTTGTGGACATTTCTACACTAATCCAACTGTAAACTTTAACCATCACTAGCAATAGTTTACCTATGGTAATGTGCTCACAAAGGCCCCACTTGGGATATTAGTAACAAACCCTTCTCCCCCACATGCTGTGTAATCAGGTATCTCTCCTCCCCCCTCCCTCCCAGGCAATGGGAGTAGGGAATCCCTCATGTTCAAGTCACTGAAGGTGGTCCCTAGAGCCCCAGGGAAGGGATTAAAGAAGTCAAAACTGGTGGCAGGATTTAAGGGGGCAAGAAGCATGACTAGGGGTTGTGGAGAGGCTGAGCTTCTTGCCAATATAACACTGCTACAGCCACTGAGGACATTTCTTCATTCTGAAATGGCTCTTCAATCACATTCTGTCTTTCCCCCACAGTCCCAAAGAATGGTCTTTCTATTTCTCTCTTTATATTAAAAAAATTTTTTTGAGGAATAGTTGACAAATATAACTGTATATGTTTAAAGTGCACAACATGATGATTTGATACACATATACCTTGTAGAATGGTTACCAAGATCAAAATAATTAACACATTTACATAATTAACAATGTCACATAGTTAACATAGTTAACTTTTTTGTGTGTGGTAAGAATGCTTAAAGATCTACTCTTAGCAGTTTTCAAGTATACAATACCATATTATTAACTACAGTCACTATGTTATACATTACATCCTCAGAAATGTCTTATTTGAAAAGGCAACCTACAGAATGGGAGAAAATATTTGCAAACCATACAACTGATAAAGGGTTAATATCCAAATTATATAAAGAACTCATACAAGTCAGAAGCAATAAAAGAAACAATCCAATTAAAAAATGGGCAGAAGGTCTGAACAGACATTTTTCTAAACAAGATATACAGATGTCCAACAGGTACATGAAAAGGGCTCAACATCACTAATCATCAGGGAAATGCAAATCGAAGTCACAGATATCAGCTCACATCTGTTAGAATAGCTATTATCAAAAAGACCACAAATTACAAATGTTGGCAAGGATGTTGAGAAAAGGTATCACTCACATACTGTTGGCGGGAATATAAAATGCTACAGTCAAGACAGACGACAGTACAGAAGTTCCTCCAAAAGTTAAAAATTGAATTACCATGTGATCCAGCAATCCCACTCCTGGGAATATATCCAAAGAAACTGAAATCAGTATCTTGAGGAGATATCTGCATACCCATGTTCACTGCATCATTAGTCACAATAGCCAAGATATGGAAACAACCTAAATGTCCTTCAGTGGATGAATGGATAAAGTTGTGATTTACGTATAAATGGAATGTTAATCAGCCACACAAAAGGAAATCCTGCCAATGGCAGGATGAATCTGGAGGGCTTTATGCTAAGTGAAATGAGCTGCACAGAGAAAGAAAAATTGTGTAATGTACCACTTATGTATGGAATCTAAAAACCAAACAAAAATCTGATTTCATAGAAACAGAATAAAAGAATGGTGGTTGCCAGGGCCTGGGTGGAGGGGCAAATGGAATGATGGTACAAATGATTGTACAAAGGGTACAAATTTTTTTTATTCTTATTTTAATGCTTCTGGCCAAGATTTTTCTCCTTTATGCGCCTCTATAAAATAGAATGCATTTCTGACACACTCAATCTTTTCGAATTCTTTAACAGATTTTGTTAGCAATCAGCTTAAGGACATGGGTTAAAGAAGTTATCTTCTATTAATTCCTTTTCATGTTTTCAATTCATTGTTGAAGAGAAAGACAAAGGCACACGCAAATGTTAAAAGAACCTTTGGATGCACAAAGATTTGAAATAAGGTTCATCTACATTTCTGAAAAAAGCCAGGTTTGGAGATTCTTGCTCAAGTTACTACATGGGCCAGGACAGTGTTCCTCAGGTAAGAGGAAGAAGAGCCTCTAAGGCCGATCCTAAGGCTGGTTCTGCTGCCATGAAACCAGGGCTCAGGTGGGTGAAACACCAATTGTAGGGGGTGGGGAGAAAACGGAGGGGTAACAATGGAGAGACACCACATGGGTTTACCCTCCATCCCATTTTCTGTCACCTGCTGTCTGGCTAATCTCAACACAGAAGTAAACCAGGCCTGGGATCGGGACAAAAAGTGCAGAAACGGCGTTCAGTGGGGTTTGCAACAGACAGCTGGCTCCTTTGTCCTCTCTCCAAGAGACGCTGAAAGTTCACGTCTGCACCCTCTCTTACAGCTGGCATGCCCCCATGAAAATGAGACTTTAGGCAGAAGTTTGTAAGAAGCTTCTGGGAAGACTTCTTTTTGTCTGATAAAAAGAACAGAAATGATAGCACCTCTCCTTTCCTTCCCTGTATGATGCCCACAGCTCTAAGGGCTCTCTTTAAGTCAGCCATGCAGCGCCTCACTTTTAAATATAAACAAAGAACCAGGGATCACCAGCACCTGAGAAACAAGGAAAAAGGCCAAGGAAGCTTAGATTAACCCTCCCCCCACCAAAACCAGTTACCTCCAAACTTTGCTTATGTGAGAAACAATAAACTTTAGTTTAGTCACTCTTTCCTGTTGCAACAAAAGCATTCCTGGTACACTGTAGTCCCAAGCAACCATTGGTACAGAAACCAGAAGGAGGTAGAGGAAATGACAAGCAGTGCCAGAGGGGAGAGGGGAGGGCAATTTTTGTGACAACCTGTTAGGCCCAGGAAGCTGGTTATGATTTAAAGGATTGTCTCTATTGATCTATGTCAGAAGTCTGACACATAATACTAACACATATATCAAAGTCCATTTGGGGGAAAAAATACAGAAAATGGAGTACAAGTTTCCCGTATGTTTTTAATAAGTTGCAGATTCCCACCTAAAATGTTTTCATGTAATTGTTGAAATGTCATAGTTTTGTCAATATTTCCCTAAGGTACCTATAATATGCATAAAATGCTTACATTACTTTACAGGGTGTGTGTGTGTGCATTCAGCCATAAAAACAAGATGAAAAACGATTCAAGTCAAATTGCTTCATTTATTTAAAAAAGAAAGCCTATAAATGTGTGGGTAAGAATTTGGTTTGCATCATCACTTATGCCCACCTGAACCTGATCTATAATGGTGCTTCTCAGGCTTCTGGAGAGAAAAATACACTCAGACAAAAAGGAATAACAATCTTGGCCCCCAGCCTCTGAGGGGGAGGAGGTTTATACAAAATTCACCCTCACGAAGGAGAGAGGAGGTGCCTGGGACACTGATTGATGGTGGGCAGGGGACAGAGCTTTTTGAGTGAAATTCATGGTGTTGTCCTTGAAATACCCTCTCAGTCAATCACTGAGGTTCAAGTCATCAAGTCAATTCAAAAACTAAACAAGCCAATCTACCCTTTGAGGATTTACTAAAAACAGGTCTCAGGGTTAGCTGAAAACTCTTCTTCCCCAACACCTCTGCACATGAGGAAAAAACAAACAATGTTAAGGTCAGGAGAGTCCTCAGAAACAAAGAAGGAAGCAAGGGTGGCCCAGCAGCAAGAGCAGGGCAGCCTTCCTACCCACCAGGAAGTCTGAGAACCTGGGAGCCTGCTAAAGGAAAAGTAATGACTTGGAATGCAGTGAATCTACTGAGTTGGGGTTTAGAGTCAGGAGAGATTCTCATTTTCACTGCAGTTTACTCATACCCCTGCTGGTGATAAGTGCAATGGAGAAAAAGTAGGAAAGAGAATGGGATGGAAGCTGTGGAGCAGGCTTCCATTTTAAACAATGGGCAAAGAAGGCCTCACTATGATGACATTTAAGCAAAGACCCGTGAAGGAGGTGCAGGAGTGAGACATGCAGATATATGGGGTACAGAGAGGTCCAGAAAGAGTGACACAGTGTGCAAAGGCCCTAAGTCAGAATGCCTGATGGATCCACAAGCAGAAAGGAGGTCAGTTTGACTAGAGGGGACAAAGTGAAGGAGAGAACAGTGGGAGACGAAGTCAGAGGGTAATAACAGGACCAGGCTACATGGAACCTTAAAGGCCATTTCCCTCTCAGTAAGCCAATGGAGGGTTTAGAGCCAAGGAGTGCTGTGATCTAACTTACCTTTTAACTGAATCACTCTGGTTAGATAGTAGCTGGACCAAGATGGTGGAAGGACAATCGCAGAAGCTGGAAGACCTGTTGGAAAGCTACTACAAGAATCCAGGTAAGATGCCGCCAGCTAGGATCAGGGTGACAGCAATGGAACAGCAAGAAGTGGTCAGAACCCAGACATATTCTAAAGATAGGTTTGTTTGGCTGACAGATTAGATGAGAAAGGAAGCATTGGAAGGATGGTGTTGCCATTAATTGAGACAATGGAAGCCTGTTAGGAAGAACTAGTTTCAGGTGGGAAGATTTAGAGTCGTTTTGGAAATGTTAAATTTAAATTAGGAAAGATGCCAATACATGATTGAACTTGTAGATCTGGAAGTAGGGGGAAAAGGTGGACTGGAGACGTTAAGTTCTGAAGCTGTCAAAATATATATGGCTTTTAAAGCCACGGAGGCTAGTTAGTAGAGAACAGAAACGATTCAGAGACCTAGTCCTGGGCGCTCCAGGATTAACGAGTCAGGAACATAAGGAGTGTCTGTGTGTTCAAGCCAGACTAACCAGAGCTTCGCCTCAGGTCAGATTCTTAATCATCTTGTATCTTTAGAGACTTGCACAGTACGTGGAACATTACGAGTGGCTAACAAACAGGGGAATAGTTCAACAAAAACTTAATGTTCTAGCATAATTTGAACGAATGTTAATTCCTGACAGCTGCATTCTAATAAACAGGCCACAGAGATTAATTGGTAGCAAACCAACCAACCAACCAACAACTATTAACGTCGAAATGGCTTTCCCAGGAAACTATAACCTCCAACCTAACATAAATAAGGAAAAGTTGGATGGAGACTTATCTGAAGACCATCGCCGGCGGCTAGCCTTCCTCCTTCCGCTGGAGGCCAATGCAAACCTCGCTCCAAAACGGTTTCACCGGCAACCAGTGCAGACACGCCCTAAATCAGGACCCGGGATCCAGAGGGCGAGACTAAACTCCGCCAGCGAGCGGAGAAGGCGGCAGAGAGAGGTGACCCCGGGCTTATCTGAGCCGCCGACTCTCCCCCGGGGCCCGGCAGCCTCACCCCACAGTCCGCCTGTCCGCCTGTGGCTCTGTCCTGCAGCAGGCGTGCTGGTTTCCATGGAACTAAGACAGCGCTTTAAACCAACCCGCTCCCCGGCGCGGTAGCTCCCGTACGCAGGCGCAGCCGTGGCAGGGCATGCCGGGAAGCGCAGTTTTCCCGGCCCTGGAGGGCCCTCCGCCCGGGGCGGGACCCAGGCCGGAATCCAGCGGCGCGCACGGAACGCGCGGCCCCGTGACCCGGATGACGACACGGCTCCATTGTGCTCGCGAGCGGGGCATGCCGGGATAGGTAGTTTCCGCCCACTGCTCCCCGGAGGTCCTACGGCGTCCGCTTTGCCGAGTTAGTCCCATCTGGGTGACCCTGCGGCGTTCGGATAAATTGACAAACGCTCACCTGACAGCAGGCCAGAGTCCAAGATTAGAAGACATATTTAGTTTTAAAAGGACGAAAGTGTCAAGTAACTTCTGAACGATAGGAAAGTAAGATTTTGTTAAGGAGCATAAAAAAATGGTAAAAATACCAAGCTCATTCTTCTCTTTAAAGGAAAAAACCCAGCCCCTCTTCATCCTCGTTCACGATGGCCAGACTGAGAGTAAAACATATGGAATCTGCTCTCCTCTTTTGTCTCTTCAGCATAATCTGTTTCTTGCCTTGTCTACAGGTAAGTGAGTAGGTGTTTCTAAATTAGACTGTGAGTAGCAAAGAAACGAGAGAGCACTGAAAATAAAACTGCAGTCGTTTCTGAGTTGTTTTGCTGTAAGAGCCGGAATTCACACTTGCGAAGTCTCCTACAGTGAAAAGACAGCACGGCTTTGCCTTAGGTCGCTGCTCAGAACGCCTTTTACCACCACCAGGGCAATTAAAGCGTTCGTCTTGTTTCCCTGGGGGCGCAACTGAGAATAATTTAAGCCCACAAATGATTGCAGTAGGACCTGAGATGAGTCCTCGTGTGCTTAGCAAGTGGCTGGTTGAATTGATCTGGCTATTCTCATTCTACTGATAGCCGAGCCTCATCGTGAAAGGAGAGAGTGTCCATCAAGCCACAGCTGTAAGACATATTCATCAAACTGTGAGCCCATCCGGTCAAAGATAAATCAGCATCGCATACATTATTCAGGTGAAGGGACCAAACAAGCTTTTAATATGAAAACTGGGAGAGTATTTCAGAGCGTCAATTCAAAGAGCCAATTACTTTCTCAGTACGTACATTTCCTCTTGCGATGACCTCTGATTTATCGGTGGAGATGAGGGATATGTGTATGCACTCCACAGATAATCTACACACTTAAGTGTAATGAGAGTTTTTACCTTCTTCAATCTCCGTATTAAGCAGCAGTCAGGGAGCCAAACTGATTAATTTACTGTTTTTAATTTATTTTCCTCTGTTTACCATCTGGCAAACTACACAAGAACTTAAGTCAAGCAATTACAAAGTTAAGAATCTGAAGTTTTCAGTAAACTAATTCATCTGCTAGAGAACCAGTTTCTGGTCACCTGAGAATTCATTGTAATAAAAGTCTGTTTTTATTCTTTTAAGTGCCTAAACATTTTTTTCTGATTTCCCTCTTGATTTTCTATTAATAAATAATTTTCATACTTATTGACCACATTCAAAAAACAAGGTCTTGACAGCAACGGAATTCCTAGGGATTCCATGAGGACCGGTCTCTCACAACAATACTA